GTTCTAAAAAGAAGTAAATATCTTTACCAGGAGAGCGAAAATCGAAATACCTAGGAGACAACTCTGAAATACCTACTGTAAACATTGTTTTTATATATGTTATTTGATCACTATATTATTCATATTGTTTTTTCAATTTATAAAACCGTGTTTTATCAGCCATAATACTCAACTGAGTAATTAGTGATTAGATTAGTTCTATTACGAATAATAGATGTTATAGCCACATTTATACGATACATCTATAGCAGCAAATCATTTATTATCCGTTACAATTATTTTAGAATAATTGTTAGAGTGTAATGTTATTGACAATAATAACAATTTTTCTAGTTTAAATATATAGTTGCCTCTTTCAAAATGCAGTTTGTTTGAGAATCTTATACTAGCATACATTTTTAAATTGAGTAAATAACAATATGTTAAATAGGAAAAATTATATTTTTTAGGAATAATACCACAAAAAATCCCAAAATTGATATATCCGTGTCACATTTAACCCAAAATAATGTTTGTATCACAAAAACTTCATAACTAGTACACCCATACCACATTATCCCAAACTAATGCATCTGTGCAACTATACCCAAAACTAATTTTTATGTCACAAAAACCCCCCACCCCATTTTTATCCCAAATTGGTACATCTGTGCCACATTTACCCCAGACAATCTCAGATTTACTATAATTTGGGATAAATGTGGCACGAGTATATCAATTTATGGTCAATGTGGCATGAGTGTGCTAGTTTGGGATTTTTTTATAACACAAAAATTAGTTTTTGGTAAATGTGACACGGGTATACCAGTTCGGGAGTTTTTTTAACATAAAAATTAGTTTGGAATAAAAGCAACATGGGTGTACCAATTTAAAGTTTTTTGTGATATTATCCCTATACATAATAATAACTTCAGTTAAAATAACTCTTTTCGTGCCATGATGGGAAGTTTTTAGGTTTTCCCTTAAATGTTTGCGACGTAAAAAAAAAGTGAAAAGTTAAAAAAAAAAGGTCACCTAAATGCTTTGGTACAAGGTGCTCTCAATAAGTAAATTAAAATTGAAACGTCCTCTTTTGGGATTTTTTTTTTAAAGTATAAGAGTTTAGGAGAGAAAAAAAGCCAAATGGCATAATTTAGTATATTTTTCTTCGAATTTCCACTTTACTATTTTTTTTATAAAAGATATAGATAGATAGATTCCTTTTAAGCTGTGAGAAGATTTGTTTGGTAGAGCATTTGAGTCGTGGGTCCAGTGAAATAAATGAACACATAACACTGATCCTGCACTCTCTCCACCTTCCTCTTTTCTTCTCCCTCCACACATCCCCCACCAAGTAATGTACTTGTATAAAGAAAAATGCTAAATATCTTAAAATTAATACGTACGAATTGGTACCTGAATGATGCGATAGACTCTTATTGTTGAACATTATTTTTTTTTGTTTAAAAGTCCATTAGGAGTTGGCCACATCATTTAATATATTAATTTTGTGAGCATTATGTTAAAGAGTGCCTTTGGAATACTTAATAAAAGTGCTTAATAGAAAAGTATTTATTTTCAATATGTTGATTGTGTATATCATAAGACAATTTCTCTAATGAAAATCACGTATCAAAAGGATTCATTTTGTTAAGGGTTAATATCACGAAAAACCTCAAACTAGTATACCTGTAACAAATTTACTCCAAACTAATTTTTTTACCACTAAAAACCCCAAACTAGTACACTTGTGATAAATTTTTCCTTCGTTAGTATTTCAAACTAATTTTCCTTGTTTGTGTTTCCGTTAAATTGGATTAATACCACGAAAAATTACAAACTGATATACCTATGATAAACGGAGGGTAAAAACCCAAATCGGTACATCCATTAACTGTCACGTGTCATTTAACTAAATAATGTAACAGTAAAATTTAACGGAAACTAACGGAGGTTAAATTTGTAACAAATGTAACAGTTTGGGGTTTTTGGTGGTCAAAAAATTAATTTTGAGTAAATTTATCACAAGCGTATCGATTTAAGATTTTTCGTGCTGTTAACATTTTTGTTAATAGATATCGATAAACCTACGGTAATTTGAATTTACTTAAAACACCTCCCCCCCCCCCCCCCCCCCCCCTCTCTCTCTCTCTCTCGGTGTGTAATTAATGGGGTTTGTAAATCTGTCACTGCGAGGATTCGTTTGGCATTTTCTTACGATGACGGTGCGCTTGATGACCCCCTCGTCCCACCCTCCCTCCCTCCCTTTCCATCCGCACATGCAGTTCCTCCGTGGGGAGCAGTGGTGGGAATAAGTGGCTCTAGATTTGACTTTAATCTTTGGAGATCTTCGAAGACTTTAAGAAAAATTGGCTTCCCACATGTGAGTTTTTAAAGTCGAAAAGGTCGATGTTTTTTAGGTCAGAAAGTGCAGCCCCCTCCTCCCAGTTGCATTCCATCATTAGCCAGTCCCCTTGGAGATGCAGAACCCCATCCCTTTTTCCGAAACATATCGAATTGTGGATGAATATTATATACTCCAGTCGCTAGAAGACAAATTCTCCACAGACAACATTCTCTGCCATTGATTTGGTTACTAAGATAAGTACTGTAATTATAAATCTACCGAACCAGTAGATTCAGCAAGTTCCTTTTTCTCTTAACCACACTAGTAATTTTTATGATTTCATTTAAATTCTTCTATTTGAGAATTGCAAAGTGCGAAATTATCATTCAGGTATATCTTTTATGGCACCGATCAATTCACGATAGCACCATAAATTTATTATATTTTAATACTAACACCATGAGAGAATCACGCCACCTAAGTTAGCTATTAAGATGGGAGAGCCCACGACCACATAAATCACATGTCGAAGTCCCAGGCATCCAAGTCTCATGCTTTCAAAGTCTCAGAACCCACCATGGGGTGGCTGTGTATTAGTGCCAAACAAAGCTTTCTTGACCATCTAATGAACCTCGAGGGCATAAGTTTATGATATCGCATGTGAATTTGGGCCATCATATGTGGAAACTGTTTCTGAAGTTAATGCTAAGAACACATTAGCAATAGTTATATACATACTTATGTACACCCACAAGCATATTTCGAAATTGTTGTGTGGTGAGTTCGAAAGGAGATATGGATACGTATAGGACATATGGTTTGTGTGTCGATCCACACTTCGAACCAACTTAGTATCATGAACATAAAAAAATCTCTCCATAGGCTTTATAGACATTGAGGAAAATAAGTGGGTGCTTAGAAGAAACTAATTTCTGCGTAATAATGTCAACCTCGCTAAAGTTGTAGGATCTAAAGATTTATTGCATTACGGACTTGCCGAACGTTCTGCACCACAATTCTAAATCACTATAATGAACTTGAAAGTACTGCTAGAAATACTTTCATTTTTCCCATATACTGCTAGACATACTGAAAATGCCTTTGCTATTATACTATGCTTATGTGATATGTGACCATGCTACATCGGATGTTTAAACAAGCAAGAGCGACATGAATAAAAGCGGTGGCTTATTGTCATGTATCCTGGAGCTTGCACTAGTTATGCCAAGACCAAATGCTTTGCCAGATGTGGTGTAAACCATCAATCGAGCCCATTACATTCAGAATGGCGGATGGGGAAACCTCATTTATTTAAACATGAAGCAATCAATGTTTCGGACCTTATTGGAGAACAAAGATTATCGTTAGACGGATCTGCTTTTTCGATGCTAGATGTAGGTGTCGTTCTTGCCAATGCATTCTTAAGGGGACAAAATGAAGAAGATAGGCACTTTGTGCAAGGCAACACTGCGTATACTATAGGAGGTGTAACAATCAAAATTCTTGAAAATCCTCGGTTAAGATTCAAGTGCAATCATTCGAGCAACAAGGACGACATACACTGTGGATATGGCTTGAGGAATTTGAAGAACAAATTGCTGAACTGCTCTCAAAAGATTTGATCACAGATAGTTTGAATCCGCACTCTAGGACCAGCTTGCTCTTGAAAACACATCTTGTCCATGCCGGTGCTAGAGAAAACACGAACGACAATAGACCATCGTCGGCTCAAGAAGGCAACAAAAGATGATGGGTGTAAAATTCCTAGGGCGGGAGATCTCCTAGATAAATAAGTCTTACACAGCATGCAATATTTTTTCAATTAGGTTTGAAAAGTGGTCTTTGGCAGGTAAAGATGGAAGAAGACTCAATTCCATTAACCACCTTTACATGGATGAGATGTCATCTTCACTTGAAAGGGGAGGCCAAATCAATAGAGAAAGGTTTCCTCTCAATGCTTACTCTCTCGGTAATTTTTGTTAAGAGGAAATAGTTTGCAATCGAGCATTACAAGATTTTCATAATAGGTCAAAGAATTAGGGGTCTTCATAGCACGAGTCATTCATGACTGATTGTCCTAATTTGGAGTGTTCATATATAGATCATGGAACAAGCAACATTCCAATAATGAGACAATCAAATTCTCTAATTGTTGATATTCTGCCAAATTCAATAAATGTTTTATAAAAAAAAAATAGAGTCATTCGAAGAATGCGGGTAAACTCTCCTTAAGACAGAGTAAGATTGAGGAATGGTTTCTTAAGGGAAAATCTACTTTTGGAGTTGTTGCAAGTTCTAAATACTCAAAAGAGCAACAGAGATTGGAAAATTTCCAATGTAAAAGAAAAGAAACTCAATCTCCAAAGTGGTGAACCACCCTTTATACTTTGTTGGTACGAGGTGAGTGTACTCATATTCACTGAGTGCGGTGAAGAGTTTTTCAATTAAGAAAGCATTACATCAGTAAAAGTTCGTTTGCTCTGTGAAAAAATTACTACCAAGGAACATTTTCCTCGTTTTCTTTTGGATCATTTAAAAAAATGAGTCATGAGAAATCTTATCATAGTCAACAAATAATCTATACTGAAGCGGACTTTAATCTCAATGCTCCGTTGGAATGGTATGTACGTACAGCCCCACCTTCCACTCCACTCCTGGACTCTAGTACAGTACAAATCCTGATCCTGTTGTTGACTGAGGAAGACCCCGTTACACCAATCTCTCCTTGCCCAAAAGTAGTCTCGCTCTCAACAGAAGATTTGACCGGTTTCAACACACCCCCACACACATCAATTGAGCCCCCCAAAAGGGAAGCAACAACGCACTCTTGTAGATGTAACACTTGTTGGGTTCTCTCTCTCTCTCTCTCTCTCTCTCTCTCTCTCCAAAAGTTGCACTGGCATGGTGAAATGGCCGATCAGAGTGGTGGTGGTGGTGGCAACAACGCCATGATGAGGGACTACAGGAAAGGGAACTGGAATGTGAACGAGACCATGATACTGATCGAGGCGAAGAAGATGGACGACGAGAGGCGGACAAAGCGAAGCGAGGAGAGCGGCGAGGGAGCAGGGGGAGGGGCCGGAAGAGGCGGCGGGGCCAAGCCCTCGGAGCCGAGGTGGAAGTGGGTGGAGGACTACTGCTGGAGGAGGGGGTGCTTCAGGAGCCAGAACCAGTGCAACGACAAGTGGGACAACCTCATGAGGGACTACAAGAAGGTGAGGGAATACGAGAGGCGGAGGACTGGCGAGGAGGAGGAGGACGAGGCGGCTTCGTATTGGAAGATCGAGAAGAGCGAGAGGAAGGAGAGGAACCTGCCCACCAACATGATGCCCCAGATATACGAGGCCTTGGTGGATGTGGTGGAGAGGAGAGCAGGAGGAGGAGGAGCTCAGAGGGCCGCTGCCGCTGCTTCTGCCTCCGTCGCCACCTATTCTATCGGCCACCCGAATCCCGACGTCATCGTTAGCACTGGTTATGCGGTGGAGACGCCCATTCAGCCTCCGTTGCCTCCGCAGCAGCATGCCTTGCCGGGCCCCATCGTGCCGGCATTACCTCCTTCTTCTCAGACGCCGGAGGCTCCGCCACAGCTGCCTTCCGCTGCCGCTTCTCAGCCACTTCCAACACCAGGTATCTCTCTGTAAATATAATCAGACTCTTATCGACCATAATTTCCTTCCCTTCGAAATCGCGCAGAATCCGAATCGAGCGAGCATTCGGACTCGCCGGCCAAGCGGAGGAGGAGAGGCGGAGATCGCGGCGCGGCGGCGAGCGAGGATCGCCACGAGCCGTGCGACGTCGGGACCGCCATCTCGAGGAGCGCCTCCATAATAGCGGAGGCGCTCCAGGCGTGCGACGAGAGAGAAGAGCGACGGCACAGGGACCTGGTCGGCCTCCACGAGAGGAGGCTCAAGCTGGAGGAGTCCAAGACGGAGATCAACCGACAAGGCAACGACGGCCTCGTGAGCGCCATCAACAAGCTCGCCAGTTCCATCCACGCTCTAGCTTCCACTTCCAGCAGTAAGAATCCACCCTCCTCATGAAGCAGCCCACATTCAAATCCGGTTCTGTACATATGGAAGAACCACGAAACGTCGTACGATCCATCCTCGATTGATGATGACGACGACGACGATGAGATCCCATCGCTCCATTTCATTATTGATCGCTATTAGTCTGGTTTCATATGTAACATTTTTTTTCCAACATGAATGAACTCGGGCACGTATGAGAATTTGTCCTATGATGTTTTATTAGTATTCTTCTTTTCATACATGTTGTGTGCTACATTGTAAGTTTCGCAGCAAGAAATTTGGTGTTTCTGCACCGCACGCGCTGCGTTGGCGCGTGGGTGGGAGGTAGCTTATCTATCATTTATGAGGGCACAAATATGAGAAATTTTTTTGGCTACTGAGCAGCACAGCACTGACAAGTACTCTGAAAAACAGGTATGGCACTTCCAAAAAGGACCGGTCAAAGGCGACCGGTCAATGACTCTCTGATGATGCCTTTGCTCATAATTACCAGTTTGCCATTTATTTTTCTTTTTTTTTCTTTTCTTTTTTCTTTCTGGGGTTCCTGCTGCTGGTAGGGTGTTGTCCTGTTGTGTTATGTGTGTATCATTTGTGGTGGAGGGCTGAAGCAGAAAAGCTTTTGGTCCCTCCCTTTTTATTTTCCCACTTCTTCTTACTCTCTGAAATGGGAGGTCATTATTGGCTAATTGGGGGTAGCCTGGCTCTGTGGTTTCTGACAAAAGGGCGAGCCTCAGTTTGCCGATTTTGCCCTTTGAGGAGAGCCAGCTGGATTTTGTGGGTACTCTTGGTAAAGGTTTTAATGACCCAAGTTCTTCAAATTTTACTTTTTGGCTAAGTATAGTGTGGACCGACTATTTCCAAGGTAATATTTACATTTTGACGCTAAGGTTGGTTTGGGACCTTGATTTTAGTTCCTTTTTGGATAGAAGTAAGATGGAGTTGAAGTCATTGTCCCGCTCGAATTCTCCTAATCCCTAGGATTGAAATGAGCGCCCGCAAGCTCGTTGTGCATCTTGTATTTGGAACATTCCCCTGAATCAATTGTCATCCTCACTTTTCACATTAATATCACTCCATGTTTTTTTTATTTTCCCAAACCATTACTTGGCATCCTAGGATAAAGCCCCACAAATGAAAAAGACTATATTGCCCTACATTCACTTTCAATCTCCGATTTCTTAAATCCTATCATTGTACGTCTTAACCTCGCTCCATCCATATCCACCTGTGGCCTTCGCTGTCGCCCTAGCCATTGCCTTTGACTCTCTCTCTCTCTCTCTCTCTAAGGTAGTCCATGGCCTTGTCGCGTGCTTGATCTTAGGTCCAAGTAGCCATGGTCAACCATCCGTAGCCTTAGTGAGGCTCTCGTCTTGATTTATGTTAGAAAGTCTAACCAAAAATCTTAAACTGATAGGTAAAAGAAGATCACGTAAATATAAAGAGCATTTAGGACCCGTTGCGATGCGAGACAGTATTACAACAATCTAAGGTCATCAATGATTGATAGTGACCTTGCCATTGATTTTGTCGGTGTTGTGGTATGAAATTGAGAGAGAGAGAGAGGATACGGGATGCAAGAATTCAGGATGAACCTCACAACAGCAAGCGAAGGTGATTGGTCAGGGTATTGTTGATTGCTCATTTAGGGTTTGGGCTGATTTGTGGTCTTGGTTGTTTAAGGAGATGACCATTTTGGTAGAGGCATTTGGGAAAGAAAATGAAGATTTCGTAAACTAAGTCTTAACTGATGTCGTGTGGAAAAGGATGTTTATAGTCAAAATTCGAAGGTAAAGTGGTATCATTGAGATAAGTGATTGTGATTTTTCGTGTTAATTTCTCTCTCTCTCTTTATCTTTTATCGATGAGTTCAAACAGGTAATCATATTCGACGTCCTATTTTGATTCAATGTGTGTCTGAATATTTGGTATGATAGTATTGCCAACCTAAAATCGTGGAAACTCCGTAAAAGAACATATCAAATCATAGTGCGAAGTAAAATCAAGTATATCAAGATAATGTACAAAGCAAAACTGGTGAACTTTACCCGAAGCAAAACGAACTAGGGTTTGTTGTGAGAGCCAAATCCTATAATATCAACTCTAATATTAGAGTATAATGCGAGGAAAATCTCTCTATTTTCTATAATCTTGAAATGGATAAACTATTGTGTAAACTATACATATGCATTTAAACAAAATCTAAAACACTCCATAAAAGTATTAGGGTTTACGTTACACAACATGGATTTCATTATTTCTCATTTTATCCTTTTTCACCGACATTCCTTTTCGCAAATGGTTATCCTCGCAGAGTTGCGAACATCCAAAACATTCTCCAATCTTATCCCGCGAGAAAGTATTTCAAGTGACGGATACGTCACGTGGCAACGATGACGCGATATACATGACCAATTACCATTGCCCAAATGTGATCAATCCATTCTACTTGGCACTATGTGTGTATTCATCTTTCGATTTATTAGATACAACATGTGTCCTTGCCATGTGGTGCATCTGTCACATGGTTCATTCTACTTGGCACAGCATTTAGTGCTGATGTTTAGCGCTTCGCACTAAGTGCGTAGTTATTAGTGCGCTTGCGCTTGCACTGAGTTTAGCACTCAGCATTTCCATTCCTACACTAAGCGCTTAGAGAAATAATGAGTTTCTATAGTTTATGTGTTCGGTACATGATAATGCGGTGTAAATGACAAAATTACATAACCTGTGTGTTTCTACGCATCTCAATCAATTTTTCTTCTGAATTTCAATGTCTCTCACTTTCGATCGGTTTGCCATATCAATTTGTCATAGCTACTTGGCGTTGACTCTACACAAAATAACTTCTGACAGATCTGAAAACATTTTAAAATCTAGTTCCCAAATTCCTAAAGTTGACCTTTTTTAAACCAGCGTGTTGGGAGCTCTTGGCCCATCTTCTATGCTCGAGTAGGCTTTCGTCAATAAACCCACTTGTTATGGTGAAGGGAGAAGCTCTTGAGAGACGTGCACTAGTATATCATAGGTTATGCGAGTTGAAGTCCTACATCGAATACGCATGGATGAGTTAAATGACTTATAATCCGATTTCACGATTCCAAATGTTGACATTTTTTGAAATTGACGTTCTGGACTTTGTAAGCTGTGGGCTAGCTTGTGTGTTTGAGTGGGCTTCCGCCATTAAATCCACTTCCCCTCTCCTCTTTAGTTCACTTATCAAAAGATATAACCAATATATATTTGTATTTATATACTCTACATACTCAAAACATCATGAATAGTTATACCTTAAGAACTTATAATTTCTTTCTTCAAATTATGTACTATTATGTTAGTAAAATACGTTAACCAGTCTATGTCTGATGAGATATAAAGTTGTATAATTTGTTAAAAATAATAAGGAGATGAGTAATATCCTATTTCAGAAATAATTTACAAGAATTAGATTGAATTAATGACAACCATGCATAAACTCTAGAATAGGAGAGTTGCAAATTTTAAATGATATATAAAAGTAGCATAAATTTTAATTAAGTAAATCGCGGGACATCTTACTTCAAGAAAAATAGTCTACCTCCTCTCCTAAAATTATCTATTTTGGTGATACATAATCATTTATTTTTTTTAATACATAGATAGATATAGTTGATAAAAAAAAGTCCGAGAAGGACGACCAACACTCATGACACAAAGATTCGTGTTTGCGGCTCTTATATACTTTCTTATTGTTTGATAATTAGCACCATTTTTGAGATTGTTAAATATTGTTTTTGAACAAGATTGCGCTAACTCTTAGGATACACTTGTTTCGCGAAAAATAAATGATTTGAAAAATATTGTCCTAAAAATTATTGCTTATAAAAACGAATGAACAAAAAAAATATTTGCATTGTCCACGAAAATATAGAGACATAAATTGTTGTCGATGATAAAAATATTTTCATTAACTGATTATTTCAAACGATATAAAATCGATCATTTTTAGGAAAATATTTTCTAAATAATTCATTTTCCGCAAAACAAACAGTGCCTAAATTTCAATTTGATTTTTTACGAATTTGACTATAATTTCCTTTTTAGTTTTCACATTTACACTATACAAGAAAACGACCGATGGTAAGGAAGGAAATTCTTTACTAATGATCCATTTTTCTTTGCCAAGAGCTACTTCTTTGAGCCATGAAGCTACTTCTGGCGGTGACAAATAGGCGGGGGCCAGTTGGCCCACCTAGGCCTGAGAGGTAAGAGTACACGGGCAAAGCTCGGCAACATTTTTACATGAAAAAAGTCTGGTCCGCCCTTCTTTGCTCTGGAGGTCTAGTTATTGGAATAATGGACACAAATGATTCTTGAATTTTGGCCCATCGTGTAATGTGATTCATAAATTTTTAATTTATTCAATTTGGTCCCTAAACTTTAGTCTAATGTTCAAAATGGTCCCTGAACTTTTGATAAATGTCCAATATAGTTCCCGAACTTTAGTATTTTGCCAAAGACGTTCGGATCCTGCTCGATCTCGCCAAGTGATCATCTCTAGCTACTTCAACGAAGAAACTCGTTCCTTTATTACTAGGGCTTGCTCACTGGTTACATGCAGGGAGAGCTTTTTCTTCTTTCCAAAAGTGGAGCAGAAGTTATTTTTCAAACCCTCCCCTTGAACGATCTGAGATATTGGGCCAGGTTTAAGCCACATGATGGGTGGCCCAACCCAGACTAAAAACAAATTACTAATTTTCTTTACTTCACATCCCTCCTATTCACGCCAACAAAATCCAACATTCAACTCATTTTAATTCCTCTATTTTCGTGTCTCTTCTCCCTAGTGATAAGCGTGATCCCTTCCCATCTATTCAAATAATCTTGTTTAAATGTAATGTGAGGGAAAATAATGAGTTTAATTCATTTTCAACGAGAAAGTTTAAGGAATTGTACAAGTCCAAAAAAAATATGGTAGGTTCGTTAGCAGCAATAAACTATGCGAGAGCATCTCTCGACTAGCTTTTCTTTTCCACTCTAGGGTTTGCAGAAGTAAGGCATACTTAGCCCTTATCGGTCTAGAATAGGTTAACGGTGACTCTAGTTTTGTTCGATTAATAATATACGAGTGACCAAGTTGTGGAGCGGTTAGTAGGGCTCGAGAGAGCCCGTGCAAAGCGCTCATGCCATCCCTGGAATTATACACGCTCGTCTATCAAGTTTATGAGGGAAAACCAAGGGAAAGTGGACTGGTTGTGAACGA